AATTATTGTAACTCGGCAATAGATAATTGGATGGTAAATATTCCAGGAAAAACGGTTACTATATATATGCCTGGTATTGTTAAAACAGACCTTCCATTGGCTGCTACTTCCGGTAATATAATTGCCGGCTTCAAAAAACAAACCGCCAAAACAATGAGAACATTTTCTCGACAGAAAGAGACATTATTTTTAATCTAGACTAGTAAAAGAGTAGAAGAAATTCAAACGCGAATTAAGTGCGGTTCTTGCGACTGTGACTTTATAAATGACACTGAAGAAGACGAAAAAAATATTGGCTATAATCAATACATTCGTTCGATTTTACACTCAATCAGCTACCGTACAATATGAATGTGAGTTGTGTGAAACTTGAACAACTGCAAGAAGAAAATTTTTGAAATCCTTCAATAACAATACCGACAGATTATTTAAATTGCCTAAGAACCAATGTACTGATTAATATTTCTTTATATAACTTACAGGATTGTTTTTGTCTGTAAACCATTTATTTGTTCTTTAATAGTCTTTTGGTTCATCTAAAACATTGTTTTACTGATCCTAGATTTTCATGTTTGATTTCGTTTTTGTGATTATGTTTAGAGTTTTTATTATTCTATAACCAAAACCATCTATTGTATTTTAGATTTTAACCAGTTGATTGTATTTTGGAAGTGATAGAAACTTCCTTGTTTTTTATCATTAGAACCTTCTAAGTGAGTGTCTTTAGTATCAATTTGAGTAAACTTATCAACACTAGTAATTACATTACATTTATATCCAAAGATTCACCTCTAGTTTTTAATTATAATCATGTGTCATTATTTTTATATCAGAATTATTTTAATTTGAGAACTAATTTTATAGGTAACTATCAACCCTTTCAGCTATTTCATAAAAGTCATTTTTCTACTATGGATTGAGTAATTGATAATAACGGGTCTACTGGTGGTCGATAATTGAGTTAAATAGACGAAACCGCTGTTCTTTCTAATTTTACGAATAATGAATTTTTATAAATTACGAGTTAATGATTCGTTTATAGACGTTATATTGTTAGGAAGATGAATTGTTGAGCGATGATATAATAAATTATTGAAAAATGTTGGTGTACGGAATTATGATGAAAATTAATGTTGAAGTCAACACATCGCTAAAACGGGCGAAAACTGGTACATTTACCCGATTTTATCTGTTTTTTTGTGGGTAGTTAAAAAGTGGATCGACAAGAGGCAGAACGACAGAGTTTATTGTCAATTCTACAAGAGTCTGACTCAGATATTACGCGGCCAGATCAGGAGTGTGATAAAGATCACAGTAACACAGGCCAAGAAATCTCAGACTCTGATAGTGATGCTATTCCGCTGTTGCCGACTACAAACCATTCGCCACAGTTGGGGGAGCATTCTATATCTGGAAAGGCTAGTTCTTCAAACCGTGAGTGTTCTTCGAGCTTTTATCTTGTATGGCTTGGTATAAGACATGTTAGAACCAGAACCGAAAATATAATTCATCAATTATCAGGTGTAGTACCAGAAGCAAAATTGGCAATGTCTGAAGTGAAATGCTTGATATTTTTATCACTGGCGGTATGCTGCAATTGATACTTATGTACACTAAAGGTACGTTTACATCTGTTCAACAACTGGCGATTTTGTGGAAAGCAACATGTTGAAAGCGACACTGTTGCCGTTTGTGGAATGAGTCTTGCAACAGAGCGTCGACAGTTCTACAAAATGTGACTTGTTGAAACAGGTTGCTTTTGTACCCACAGCTGATGCATTCATTCAACAATTTTGCTTCCACAAATTATATTTTTGCTTGTTTGTTTCCTGAAAAATGGAAATTCAGTGGAGTAATGAGAAAGTTCTTCAGTTTATTGAGGATTATAGAAATGAAGAAGTACTTTGGAATATAACATTAAGTGAATATAAAGACAATAAAAAGAAAAAAGATGCCTACCTAAAACTAGCCAATAGGTACGAGTGTTCAGAAGAGATGGTGAAGAAGAAAATAAAAAATATCAGAACAGCATTCCAAAGAGAACACCAGAGGATAACCAAAAAAAGAAGTGGATCTGCTGCAGATATATCCAAGAAATGGTTTGCCTATGACAGCCTCCTATTTCTTTTGGACGTCCATACACCTAGAACTGGATTTTCCAGCATTCAGCAAGTAAGTTTTAATTTATCATCATCATCATTTCAGAACATAAGTGTACACCTATTATTATTTTTCCTTCTTATCTGTCCATATATTGAAACTACGAAATCGATTCCAAAAATTCTTCCACCAATAGATAGNAATACCCCGTACAAGGATGCCTTACAGAATCAGAAACAAAAGGATACACCAAGCCATTCACAAGTAAAAACCGTCAAGAGAAAGATGTCTGTAGCCTGTAGCACATTCCTCCAAATAGTCAGATTTAAAGTTACCATCGACATCAAAAGCAACTTCGTCTGCAAATTGCAAATGGGCAAATTGAAATAAATGAAGGTGAATGATTTTGCGAAGTATTTTAGGCACACTCAGTGGAAGACATGGTGAAATGTAATAAGTATATAACAAGCGGTTCCACCAAAAATGTGTCAAAGCCAAATCTTCGAAAATATTTTCCCAGGCCTTCTTTAGATATTATTTTTCTTATTTAGTTCAAAAGGTAGTAAAATACTTCATACTTAATTTTGTTATTCATTTTGTGTTTTTTATTGATATTTTTGTATAAATACAATAAAATTGTATTCGGTATTAATATCTTTTATTTTGCTGATATTTTTAAAGACATTTCAAATAGGTCAATTGGTGGTACGTTTTATACTCATAGGGATACAATTTGACCGATAGGTTGGTTAAATTATACCACTTTGGAATATTCCTTTTCTTTAATTTTGGCAAACAAAAATTGTCTTGTCAAAACTTTTAAAATTATTATACAATAATGCATAAAAATTCCCCTATACAAAACGTCTATACAAGCCGATTTATAGTGGGTTAAAATCCCACACTACCTCCTTCAGGAGGTGTCTCTTGAAGATTCCCCTCCTCGAGGATTGTAGAAGACCAACATCAACTAGAGCACCCTGTATATAAATATGTAAATCTTTTGTATTATATTTCTTTGAGTCTAAATATTTTTCAACATTATCTTCTAAAGCTTTCTAAAGCACTTTCGTATATGTAATCACTACTAACATTTCAACTTCGAGTACTAACCCCATGACGTCTGTACTTCGCTGTCCTTCCTAATTGCTATTTTATGAGGGGTTTCTTCGGTGATTTGGGTTCAACAACTTAATTTTATATTTTCTATCTTCAGCATTTTTCAAATCATATTTTCTTACTATTGGTTCCCTTCTTTTATCTACAACCCTTAGCTCCACCTTCATAACTTTCCTAAATTATTCAAATTCTATATTCTTCAGTTCTAAATCAACCTTCGTTCTACTCTTCTTAGTCTCTAACAGTTATAAAAATAAATATTAGTTTTACCAGAATTTATTATTTTACTATTGAACACGCCAAGAACCAAAGCCTTCTTCCTGGGCAGTTTAGCTAAGTATAAAAATTCAAAAAAACGAAAATTTACCAAGATATCGATGCTTAAAGTTGCGTACTATTTATTATATTTGACCTTAAACGAAGTTTTGCATTTCCCTAAAACCAGAACATCCCGCATCCTTAACTATTTCTGAACAGTAATCTAACCTATACTCCTCCTAACTCCTGTTTCTGCCTCTAATATGTCTCTGACTAGACCTTCATGCTTGACTAATCTATCTCGCTTATTTCTTATTGACATCCATAGTCCTCTGTTCTCCTATTCTTTCTAATACCTTTTCATTTCTAACCTTCTCTGTCCGCGGCATCCTCATCAATCGCCTGTAACACCACATTTCGAACGCTTCTAACCTTTTCTTTTCCTCCGCGCCCACTGTCCATGTTTCGCACCCGTACAATGCCGTGCTCCAAACATACACCTTTAAAAACCTTTTCAAAATTTATAAATTAACCGTTCCCGATCATAGAAGTTATTTTTATTGAAGGCGACACGACCCAGCGCTATCCTCTTCTTTATATCCCTACTGCTTCATCCATCCCAACATATCTGACTTCCTAGATATCTAAAATCGGCCACAATTTTTCGTCTCCTATTCGCTCTTTCCCTACTTTTTCTTCCCTTGCAAACCAGTATTTTTGTTTTACTTTACAATACCGCTTCCATTTTATTTAAGGCTATCTCTAACTCTTTCTTGCTAGATGCTGCTATATTATCTGCAAATCTAAGCATACTAATCTTTTGCCCTTGCACATCTATCCCTACAGCTGTACTGTCTTTAATGTGATCGCGTCTTCGATGTATATATTAAAAAGTGACAGGGTAACGAGAAACATTCGTTAATACTTAATGTTTTTTTATACACGCAGCCACTATTTTTCAGCACAGGATAAATATGGCTGGCTCATGTTTGGACGAGTTGGAAACATTTTGCTTTCTCGTTTAATTCAATTGCTTTTTTTTGTGTTTAGATGAAAAGTTACATAATTACGATAAAGCACTGAACTTTTCCATGTGCGATAATACGTTAGTAGAGGAAAATTCCCAAGTGACACCAGGAAAAGTTGTACCACCTAAGT